GAAATTAGAGCTGCTAAAAATTATGCACGCCCAGGTAAACTGCTGACAAAGGGCTGCTTCCACCTCATGCACTGATTTTCTTTTTTTCCCTGAAGACTTTGAATGAACACAGAACAAGCAAACATCACAGATTTTTGCAGCCTCGTGCTTGCTTTTGACAAGGCAGCAAAGTAGAGATCTGCACTGAAAAAACACTGTTGCAAGACCTACCTTTAACAATGCCTTTGATGGCATCAAACACAAATGTGATGGATATAAAAAGTGCCATTATTTCTTCTACTGACCTGTGGAAAAAGCCCAGGAATTAATAGAGCTGCATTCAAYTCTGTTCAAAGAAAAATCAGCATATTCATCAATTTACATGAAAATATACCAATTTGAGTTAGATTTCAACTTAGAAACAAAACCCAGTAAATCAGAGAACTTCTTTCAAGCTGGAACAATAAACCAAAATGATACTTGCCTCATCTCACAAAATAAATTTTGCAGCAAGTTCATAATTAAGGAGCTTGTGGAATGTGTAATTTTTCCATTTGAAGAATAAWCTGATCAAAATACGACTTCTTGAAAATAGCTACCTTTTAAAGAGCTTCATCAGAAGGCTCAAATTAAAGAGGGAGTAGATCACAAGGAAAAAGCTGTTCCACAGTCCAATCCAGGCATAGAAAGCACTGAAATCCAAGTTGTAGTCATCACAGATTCCTCGGATGACTGCAAAAGTGAAGTGTTCATGTGTCACAATAAACTCCTGCCATTACCACCCAGGGATTCCCATCTGCTCTGTGCCAAAAAGAACCATTTTCCAGACTTCACCCCAATGCATTTGTTACAGACACCATTAAATCTGTATTCCTGCACTTCCAGGGACACATAAACTGTTCTCCCATTACTGGAAACAGGGAGAGATACTTGGAAAAATATTCTCYCTCGCTGCTCAAAGTGTCTTTCCTAGAGATTGAGGCTACAAAAGCTGCTGGAATTTTCCCTTGCTGATATTTTGGGATGCTGTTGAGCAAGGGGTGTCATAGCTGCTCATTTCAGTTGSTCATACCCCATCTTCTGGTTATCCCACACATATTGGACTTGTTCCTTTTTTGACCTCTGGCTCACTAAGATCATTTTGTAGTACCTGGAAAGCTGCTGATCATACTTTAAAACATCAGTTTAAGAAAAAAACCTCAACAAATAAACCCAAAAAATTTTGTCTCAGGCTCTTATCCTCAGCCACATGAGAAAACCATTAATGAACCAGATTTCCTCACTGAAGCTGAAGAAATGCTTATTTTCACAACTTTTTTTTTTCTGTGAAATGATKTCTTTAGGAAACAACTTGAACTAAACCAGGGGTCAGTCTTGATCCCTCTGGGTCCTTTCCAACTCAAGATATTCT